CTGCACCATGCTCCTCAAGTGGAGTTTCCATGGATGCCATCATCCAAGAAGTTAGATCGAGTGGCCGGTATGACCACTGAAAGGGATCGAATCCCGTTGTTTGACTGTAGGATGATCTGCACTCCCAATACCAGCACGGAAACCATTCGTGTTGAGGAAGAAGTCCACACCGATGTGCTCCTCAAACATCTGTAGTACAATAGAAACCGTGGCCGCGACGGTAAGACCTTGATGCAGGTATAAAATGCCTTCATTCATGACATCGAGTGCATTGGCCGTGAGGCCTGGCTCGGTAAACTTGATGCAGCTTGCATCAGGTTTGAAAAACGTAATTCAGACGGTGTGAGCTACAAATTTGCACCGACTGTCAAGAGAGGCAGGTTTAGCCTGTCTCTCGTGAAGCAATCCATATCCAAGGTGCCTGGACAATGCTAATCGTGTACCTAGAGAGGCCTGACTCCCTCTTCCCTACTGGAGGGCGCGCATCTCTTCCGAGATGGCCGAAGGGATTCATACTTTGCAATCGCTGTAGTTGCGTTTGGAGAGGTCGTTTTCTGACGGCCTATCTTCAACGCAGAGGGTGGGTCTCGTCAAATTGCGCAAGGAGACCCAGATCATCAACAATAATCTGGGCGCGAGGCTCTCAGCTGCCCCAGGCCGGTGGAAAGCCGCGCCAGCAGACGAGGTAACTCGTCTGGATGCCTTTCACGTCACGGTGGTTCAAAATACCCTTCAACAGAAAGCGTTGACCACCGCCAAAATCCACCAAAGAATGTGGTGGAGGCAGGAACACCTGATCCGGCTCGAGGGTCGGATAAGCTCGATGTCCAAAAATTGAACCGCGTGACGGATCAGTTACACGAAGACTTGGCTCGTGATCGGGCCCGGCGTTATGAGCTTCATGGCATTGTAAAGGACAATTACAAATCCTTAGCGTACGATCGTTCGAACGATTGTGCCATGTTTGCGCTTGCGCTGCTTGAGAACAAACGTTCCATTTGATCCCTTCGTGACGAGCTGACTGCAGCTCATCAGGACATCGCTCAGCTGCGTGAGTAGGTCGCTTCGCTTTATTGAAAAGATTGGCTTGAAACGGGACCACTCGAAGGTGGTCTTGGCCCTTGATCGTGGAGGTGCTCTTCGCCTCTCGAAACTTCTCGTACTGATAGTACGTGGGAGACTCCTAACGTAATACGTAGGGTGCGTACGCATCATACGAGGCAGTTCAATCGTTTATGTGTTGCCCTTGCGATGTAATACACGAAATAGAACGATGTACTTGGGCATTAGTTTACTGCTGCCCACGTTTTTCACTGGGTGTCTTGGTAGATTTACTGTTGACATTGAAACTAAGTCTCCGGCATTGAATGAAAGAGCGTTAGCTCTTTCATGTTTTTCTGCGTTTCTTTTCTGCTTACCTGTTGCATCTGCAAAAGAGTCTTGAACGAGGCGGACAACCGCTTCGTGAGTCAGTAGAAATCCCTCTGCTGACTCGTCCTTGTTAACAGCAGTGTGCTTCGTGTGCACTGCTAAAAGAGCGTTGTCTTCACCAGTGAGGGTGTCATCGATCTCACTTTGGCAATCATTGGCGATGCTGAATATACCAGCATCGTCGTCATCATCATCATCGATATCGATTACATCGACATCGGCATCCACCACGTCTACACCATTGTCAACGTGTGATGAGCAAGAACCAGATCGGTTTTTGTTCGAGAGTTCCCCCCCTTAAACTAGAGTCACACTCTAAGAAGGCGGGCAAACGTGGATGGCGTAGGCCATTTACGAAGAACGGTGTATGCGTTGTCGACGCTTGAACCGAGTTGCTCATGGCGAATTCCGCCATCGACAAGAACTCACTCCAACTCGCAAACTAGTGAACGTATCCTCGAAGTATATCTTCGAGGACGCGGTTGACGCGTTCTGTCTGACCATTGTTTCAGGATGTTCAGAAGCCAACATTCATAAACGTGTTTCAAGTGAACGGAACACGTATTGCCAGAACTTCGCTGTGAAGTGGGTGTCCCTGTAAGACACGAGTTCATGGGGTAGCTCGTGAAGTCGGAAGATAGTATCAATGAAGACTCGAGCACATTCCTGGGCTGTGATTGACTCCGGTACAGCAACAAGATGTACCATCTTGCTGAACCGATCAACAAACACAAGAATACCAGTATTCTCGTGAACGTCTTTAGTAAACCCAAAGACGACGTCCATCGATACGGACTTCCAACACTCTGCCGAAATCGGTAGATGCTGCAAGGGTGCGCGGGATGAAGGACTAGGCTTTACCTGTTGACAAACTTCTCAAGCGTGAATGTATTTGCGCACAAAATTATACTAGGGAGGCCAGTAGAAGTCACGACCTACCGTGAGGAAAGTCTTTCCTCTACCGCGATGCCCACCTATTAAGGGCATCGTGACACTCATATACGAAATCGAAAATCATTATGAGCCGGAAAGACGACACGAGGTGTCGCCTTTGACTGCTGATAGTAAAGCAGTCCATTATGAACCTAATATTGTTCGGTTGAAGAGGGGTATTGAGACGACAAGATTTTCAAAGCTTGACTGCATGGATTGGATACATAATCCATTAACTGCAAAAGAGACTCATTTTCTGTGTATGCTTTCCGAACGTCTTCGAGCAGACTTGACGACGGAACAATCACTGATAGTGTTGCACAGCGGGATCATCCTTCCTGTGGTGTTAAGCAGTCGGCTCGAAATCGGGCCGACGCGAAAGAGCATCAGCGACGACATCAAGTCGTCCTGGTTTACACTCGACGGAGAAGTTGTACTCAGCGAATAAAGACAGCCACCTCGCCATTTGTTTGCGAGAGGTGTGGACTGTCTACGGCCGTGCGTAACGACGCATGGTCGATATAAATGATGAAGGGCATATCTCCTAAGATATACACCCGAAACTTAGCCAGCGCATATTTCATTGCAAGGAGTTCCTTGTCATGCACTGCTTAGTTACGCTCAGCTGCTTGCAGCTAACGCGATTGATAACAGACGACGCGCCCAACGTCGTCTGATTCATACTGCATTAACGCGCAGCCGACCACAAAATCGCTGGCGTCACAGACCACATGGAATGGCCTGTCCTAATATGCAATCGCCAACACAGGAATTGTATCAAGCTTTTCTTGATACCTTCGAAGGAGTGCTGACACTCATTACTCTATGACCACCTCTCGTTTTTCTTTAGCAGACAAGAGAGGTGTACGGTCATCTCGGCGTAGTTGCGCTAGTACTTGTGCAAGTACGCCGCTAAGCCAAGGAACTTTCGAAGTCACTTGACGTGGACTGGCACAGCTCATTCTCTGTTCGCCTGGATCTTTTGGATCAGGACGTACGCCGTTTTTACGTAAGATGCAGCCAAGAAGTGGCATTTCGCTCGCTGAGAATATGCACTTCTTGAGGTTAGCAAACAACTTATGCTCATGCATAAGTGTAAGAACCTTCCGGACGTGGATTCTATGAACATCCACGTCTTTCCTTCCATGGATTGAACGGCTATGGGCGAAGACATCATCAAAGTAACTCGGTGCTAAGTCTCGCACCGATCGCAACAGATTCGTAATACTTGTGTTGATCTTTGCGGGGAAGTTACTTAGCCCTTGTGGCATGACTAGCCACTCCCAGAGCATACCACTTGATGCGGTCTCTACTGTGTACAGGGTGTCCTGTCCACTCATGAGGATCTGATAAAACCCATCATCAGATCCATGAGCGAAATGATGACATTTTTGCCATACCATCTATAATTTCGTCCTTCCTCGGTGTAGTCGTCTGAGCATGTACCGTTGTAGCAATCAATTTGTTGAGCGCATGTGCTATACACTACCCTCCTATTGCTTCTTGCACACACAAAACCATGGATATGTGTAGGGATGCTGATTCCCTCACATGGCCCGCCGCCAAGCGATCGGTAAAGAATTTGTCGATTGTTTTGACCTGTTCACGAGTCAGTGGCCACTAATTTGTGATATAGTGCTTCGAGCCGGGTTTCAGTTCGATCTCACATCGAGTGCCTTTGTCCTTCGGCAACTCTCATGGCACAGATTCGGGAAAAACATCTCTGATTCGATCAAATCCTTATGCAAATGCTTTTCTTCAAAGACTCTCAATATTGAGACGTGTATCGCTCAATCCGGACCTTCTCATCGTACATCGATGAGCTACTGAGAACCCGTTCGCTCAAAGTAAACACTTGTGCCGACCGGATATCGGCGACTTACCCTTCCTCTGTGACGAGTACGCAGATCTGCTTGATCTTGTCACTACGCAGATCTTGCAAGAATCTTTTAGATTCTAGCGTTGGCAACTTGATTACCTCTGAAGATTACTTCGGAGATGTAACCAGATCAAGTGTACAAGCGACTACACTTGATCCGTCATTCACCAAGACATTAACTGACTACGTGATTTCCTGGAAAACACATTCACAGGTGGTTGGGGAAACACACCCTCAACATAGCTCTCTCCGAAGTTATCACTCTCATGAACGCTGGAACTTTCTTCCAATACGTGTTCTGACTGTGGGAGCACTACCACAGTCACGGCCTCTTCGATCGACTCTCTTTCAGTCGATCGTGTTTGCTTTACGATCGACTCTCTGTTAGTCGATCTCGTTTCAACATGGTGTTCATCCTGAATAAGAATCATAGCTCTTCTTTGATGCACCCTGCTTGGTGTGCATCCGCATTCCAGTCCACTCGATCTCTTTGAGTGGTGAACCTTCGGCGCAGCCTGTGTCTCTATACAGGTGCAGGAAGCGAATTCCACAGTGTAGCGGCCTTCTCACTGTAATCTTTGCAGTCATGCTAACGACCGTACCACAAGTACACAGGTAGGCCATCGCAACCGTTCGTAGAACATCCACACGCTTGTAGAAACTCCAAGACGTTCATCAGATGGCCATATGATAAACAAACGGCAGGCATCTTCACGGATCGATGCTGCCAGCTGATCCATGGCTGGTATCTTTTAAGCTATGGCAGACCGAGGATGACATCAAACTTGCCATCCAAATCTAGTACGATGAAGTCATCGTCGTACAGCTTTCCTTCTAGCGTGTAGTGGATTCCAACTACAAGCTTATTCGCTGTTACGAGTGCGCCTATTGCAAGGCACACCGTCATCCTCGTTGGAGGGATATCTCGCTCGGTAAAGCTAAGCCACCTATCGTCTAGCGACTGGCGTCGAATAACTGAAACTGAAAAACTGTTTGACGCCTTATCGTCAACCAAGGCGCGAAGTGGCATTCCACTTTTCACTTCGATATTCAAAGTGATGAGGGACACCTCATCACTAGGGGCAGTAACACACAGTGACTGTGTGTTGGGAGCAATCTTCGTCATGAGTCCTGCTAATTCTCTTGACGTTGCTGGATCAGCAGGGTTTTCCGCCCCTACCGACCCTGACCAATTTTGGCGGTCCGACTTGCTATTGCAATTAAGCGACATGGTCGGACCCGCGCCTTGAAACTTTTCTTGGCCAACGGTGCTCATCACGTCCTGTCTTTGGACGAGATGCGGTGCTTGGGACACTATACTCATGAGCGTAGTGTCCAATCTTCTGACAGCAATGGAATCTTGCCGTTCGCTTGTGACTCAGAGAGCGAGAGTTCTCGCTCTCGATGTAACAGAGGTCCATTGGTTCAGGACCTCCGGTACCTGTCGTCTCGTCGGACGATAGTTCAACAAGTTAGCCTGAGACCGTATCAGGCTGAAGTCTTCTTGTTTCGCATATGCTATCACCTTTTCCAGCCTATGGAAGTCCTCTTGGAACATGTCGGTCTTCACCGGTCCATCCACTAGGCCGTAGATGAACACGTTGATGAGCGTGTGCTCATCAACAGGGTTTTCCGTAACGCTACTCGCAAGGTAGCGCAGGTGCTGCGCGTAAGCGTGCACGTTACGCTTACCTTGCTTTAGCCTCACGAGTGCAGAGAGTGCTCGTACCTCGGCTCTCGGAGGCTCAAACGTCTCTTTAAGCCGAGAATTTAAGATCTCCAACGACCCGAACACGTTTGGGTCGTGAAGCTTAAGAGCTAAGGCGCAAGTCTTTGCTCGTCATGTCAAATTTTACAGGGCGAAGGTGGCTTGCATCTCGTCCCCTCGATGTGACAGGCCCTGATGGCATCGTCGAACTCGACGAACCATCTCAAAAGGGAATCTTCATCGGTTCCCTTGTACCTTAAGATATCAATCTTCAAGGTCTCGGGTCAACGCGTGTGCGTTGGCCCGTCAAACGATTGATGAGTGCCTTGCTGGTGAAGCAAGGCTATCTTCTGTCTTTTGATGGCAAGTTCCCCTCGTAGGAACTTGTTGATAGCAGCATGTTGCTGGTCTCTGCTTAGAGGCTCCATCATACCAATGATGGCGGGTTCGCCCATGAGCACACTCATGCGGCCGACTACCTCCCATTCTGGGTCACTCAGATGGGGATAGCCTTCACGTGTGACGTGAAAGCTGTCGTCTTCTACGTCCAACACGTTCATGTTATATGGACACTAAGCAGTCGTTGGACGGACTACAAAGTGCTACCAGGTGTAACGGGTCACCCTTTGCTCGAAGTGCTGCGAAACTTCACGTACAATCGTACGTGCAGAGGAAGCTAATCTGCTTGAACGACTCGTTTAAGTAAATGTAAAAAGGAAACTGTATTATATGTAGTTGAGCTATCAATAAAACTTTAATCTTTATCTAAAAAATATTAAACTACGCCGTCATATGACGACAACCTGCTCACCACTCATCGCGCGCGTCTAGCAGCGATTGGTGGCAATCTATGGGTGATATGTCTTGTATCAACCAATCTTAGAGTAGCGCATGAATATTTCTTACAAGGGGATACTCCTTTTTCAATTTCATCCATCTCGGGGAATATAGATAGGGAATTGTCATGCGAAACAATCTCACTATTGACACCATTTGGTATTAACATCATGTAACGGTCTACCCCACTACAGGCATGGTTCTGGTGTTGGTTCTTCTGTTGACACCAGACAAGAGACTGTGGATCACAGCATATTGCGCGATGCCCCAGAATAGAAGCCGTAGCTAACACCTAAGGGAGTGTTGTCTCATCTGTCAAAACCTTTGTGGAAATGGTTAGAATTAGATTATTCGTTTTATCAAGGCTTTACAAGGTTGATCCTAGTGCGATTAACTTTCGTAACAAAAATGTTTTCTTCATCAATGCGTTCTTGTGCAGTGAGATAACAAGCAAAATGTTCCCTCGTTATTTTAGCTTGGAGCAATTTCATTTACAACGTTGGTAATATTGGGCGTGATGCCTGATCAGATTAGCTGTTTATAGCTCGAAATCGTTAGGAAAAGAGGACCTCTACCGTTGTGCGTTTCAAAATGCATTAGTTATCAAAGAGGCCGGTATACTAAGCCATTCTTAAAGTTTTTTGTGCCTAATCTGTGTCAAACTTAGTACAAGCTCCGAAGGAAACCTACTCTAAGACATACCATGGTGGAGGATACGTGTCACTCAATCGATATACGACGGTATAACTAATTGTTATTTCCTCTACAGGCGCGCTAATCGTTTGCTCCCCGATGGGAATTCTTCGGCATCGGATGCGCCTTGTCATACTGCTCGACAAGACCCAAGACATCAGCCAGCAGTTAAAAGCGAGGCACTCAAGTGTCCGCCGAGGGTGGATGCCCGCACCACTGGATGAGGTAACTCGTCCAACGTCACTTTACATCGTGGTGGCTCCAGAAGCGTTCTACGAGGAAGCGTTGGCCACCGCGCGCATCAACCAATGGATAACGCGGAGGAAAAACACGTTCTCATACGAATTTGCATGCTCGGTATGATACTGTGAGTCAGCTCGAGCACATAATGTGTGTGTTGCGCGAGGACCGCGAGCACGGGAGAGGCGTCTGGATTCGCTCGGCAATGTGAAGTGTCTCTGTTTGGAACGGGAGTGGGATCGATCAAATTTCGATTTAGCTCAGCTTGGGAATAAGCAGGCTCAGAATTCTCTTCGTGACGAGCTAGGGAAATCTCGTTGGGACATATCTCGGCTTTGCGAGGGGAATTACGCATTTCAGACGCGGTCAGATAGTCTACACCGCGAGCACAAGTGTAATCTGAAAATTCTTGAGCGCAAGGTGTTTCTTTACCTAAAAAAGGCACGTGCTGGTTATACAGCCTAAGTCGACCAACGTAGAAAGTAGGATACGTGAGTATCTCACGCAGCAGTTAAGTCGTGTATGTGTTGCCTAAGCGGCGCAGAACACGAACTGGATCAATGAAATTAGGTAGCTACTTGTTATAACTCATGTTAGTCACTATTTGTCGGGTTATGCTTAGCGTATATAGTAGGACTAGGTCACCTTCATTGAATAAAAGACCATTTGTATTTTCATTCTTGTTAGCATTTTTGCTTTTGTTTTTCCACCTCTTCTGCAATGTAATCTTGCACGGAACGAAAAATCTTTTCGCAATCTGTCATGAATTCATCTGCTTCATCGCTATCTTTGGCTGCAGTGCGCTTATGCCACACTGCGGCAAGATGGCAACATAACTACTGGTAGCGCTTTCACTCTTACTTTTCTCTCTTCACCAAAGTCGACATAATTGACATCGGCGTCATACGTAGAGACCTCACGGTCAGAACGTGATGAGCGAAAGCCGATTTGGCATTTTCTCTAGCAAGTACAAGTCAGGCTAGATTTACACTTTAAAGTGTTGGCAGGCGTGGATGGCGCAAGCCATTCACGATAAACAATGTATAAGTCGTCGATGCGTGCACCGATTTGTTGTTGGCAAACTCTATCATGGGCAAGAACTTGCCCTGATTCGTAAACGAATGCAAGCATCGCCGGGAGATTTTTCCAATAACGCGGTTGGCGCTTTCTGTCTGACCATCTGTTACAGGGTGGTCAGAGATCGAAATCTGAAGGCGAGTCCTGGTTGTACTGAATACGGATCGCCAGAATACAGTAGTGAAGCGTGAGGCTCGATCGGAGACGAGTTAGCGAGACAGCCTATGAAGACAAGATATCGTGTCATGAAAAAATAGGAGCACATGCCGATGCTACTAAATTATGATACAGCAATTAGGCGTACCATTTTACTGAATCTATCAATGAACACAAGAATGTCGGTATTCTTGTGTGGGTCTGCGGGAAACCAAAGACGAAGTCAATTGAGACAGATTCCCGGCATCTTACAGGAACGGTCAAGGGTTGCAATGGCGCACGAAGTGAAGAACTAGACTTCACAAGATGACATACTTATCCTGTGCGGACGTATTTACGCAAGGACAGAAACTGGCGGGGCCAGTGAAGTCGCGACTGACTGTTAGACATGTCTTGTCTCAACCACGATATCCACTAGTAGGTATATCGTGGTACTCAAACATGATGCGTAGTTGCAGATCACCATGGTATGGTACGACGAAACAAAATGTGTCACCGACAAACGGATAAAAACTTCCTTTAGCAGTTGTAGAATGTTTATTTATCGTTGGAGGATAAATATACTGAAGGCAACCCTCGAAGAAGTTGACGAGATGGTTTTGAGCGATGATCCACCAAACGCACCATCTCCAGATCGTACGACTTGCGGGTGTCTCTAAATAGGGGTGACGACGGAACACGTAACTTAAACACTGCCAACGAGGTTGGATTAGGGTCGGATCGCGCAGCCGGTTCGAAATATGGCCGAAACGACAGAGCATCAGAGACGACATTCAGTCATCCTGACCTGTACTCGACGGAAACGTTGTACTCAGCAAAGAGCGACAGTCATCTCGCCATTCAGTGCGAGAGGTGCAGACTGTCAACGGACTTTCGTGATGACGCGTAGTCTGTGTGAAAGATTAAGTATCTATAACCTAAAAGGTTGACCCTGAATTTTGCTGAAGCATACTTCTTGGCAAGAAGTTACTTATTATAGACTGGTTAATTAAGGTTTTGACGGTTACAGCTGATGTGACTGATATCAGACGAGACGCTCAGTGCCGTCTGCGTCAAACTGCATCATTGCACATCCGATGGCAAAAAACTTGCATCGCAGACCAAGTCAAATGGTTTGTATTGTCCTGCAATTTCCAAAACGGACAAGCGTATCTAGCTTTACTTATACATTATAAGAAGTGCTAACGATCAGCACTTCGTGACCAATTTTGTCCTTTTAAAACAAACGAGAGATATGAACAGCTATATCGGCGTAGTTACGCGATTATATGTGCAAATGCGCCGCCGTACCAAGGATCTTTTTAAGTCTCATTATTTCAATGGCACCGGCCAGTCAGTGATCGCCTTGATCTTTTCCGTATCGGGCCGGACGCCGTGCTCACCCACGATAAATACAAGAAGCGGTAGTCTGCAAGCAACACATTTACACTTCTTGTGTTTAGCAGTCAGCTTGTTCTCACGCATCAGTGTAAAAAACGTTTGGATGTGAAGTCGGTCGACTTCCACATCCTTCCGTCCAACCATATTCTGGCTATAAACGAACAGGTCACAAAAAACGAAGTGCGGACTCTCGCACTGATCTCAAAGATTCGTAAAGAATCTTTAAAACGTTG